ATTTGGCATTGTAATTGCCTTCTGTTATTCTCAAGCCATTTGTAAAGTGTTATCATACATTAAAAATTGGTAGGTAGGAACCACCACACTTTCTAAGAAAAGGAGAAGGGTATTTGTTCACACCGGGAGTGTCTCGGGGTGAGGCAAAGCCAGAGGGGATTACAGAAATCAGGAAGTGTGGGGAGAAATGCCTGAAAGAGAAGTCTAATGTGAGAGATGACGAAAGCCAGGTCAGAAGACTGAGGTGGCATTTTCCAGCAAATGCCAGGATTATGAAGGGGAAACTCAGGAAGATGAGAACCTGTAGAATGGAGCCTTGGGTTACATATGCTGAGCATTTAAAAGAAACTCCAAAGGCAAGAGAATGTGGGAACTTTATGAGAATCTGTAACACTCTGGACACATAACAGACACTCAATAGATGTTCATTCCCCTCCCTTCTTCCTTCTATTTTCATGTTAAAATGATAGGGAAAAAATTAAAGGTATGAGACTATTCACCCATCAAGGTAACAAGGAGATTCCAGAGTTAATTTGGCTACAAGGCAAAGTTGATTCAAAAGGTTTACGAAAATTTTCAAGGATTCTTGCTTCCTAGTTTTTAATCTTGCTGCCCCATGACAAATACCATTTTTCTTTTTGCTACATAAGAGTCAGTGTCCAAACGGTCTTTTTCTTTGTCCCTATTTAGGCTTCAAGCGAATTCTCGCTGGTCAATCATTTCAACATCCTAGCTCAGTTCCTGTTCCTGGTTGTAAATGTCTTCTCTCCACATAATTAAGCATTTTATTCGATGAAATGCATGGTCTTATCTCTAAGACCAATCTTGCTTTTTAAATACAGGGTAGCCTGACAATATGACCTGTATCCAAAGAATACTTCAGTAAACACAGCCATACGGCTAATGAGCCAAAAACGCTATGATCAGGGTAGTTGTTCTGACAAAATGTAGTGAAAATTATGTTTTCTTTCCCAGAGATTCTCATGGCTCTTTATACCTCATTTCAATGTTTCTCAGTGAAGCGACTTAAAATGTGGTTTTCTGTCCCCTCCAGTATTTCCTTTTCTGCTCCCTGCGGTTGTGAGTTACCATGTACAGACAGGTAAGACAGTAGACGGAGTTTGGCTATAGTGTCATAATTTCATCTGTTTAGCCTCATCAGGAAGCATGCTGGAAAGATCTTAAAGGTGGTGCACATTTTGCAGGCTAGTAAATACCTTGAGGTGCTTTCATTTACTTTACAGCTTTTTTCCGAGCCTGGTGCTTGTCTGCAAGGGAAGAGTCAGCTCTTCCTTTAAGTGACGGAAGTAAGCCATTCTCAAGTAGAAGGAATGCACATTTAAATTTATGATAGCTAAATGGCTGCAGCAGCCACATTCTACTTTGAGCTTGGCAGGCCACCCTAATACTTGTGTTTGGTCCGCAGACAAGGGAACTCTATTTTTCTTTGTTGGAATCTTATAAAGCTCAAGAATATATTCTTCATTTGAGACTTTGATAAACCATGCAAAGATTACGCGAACAGTCAAGCTTTGACCAGCCTGACAAACTAGTAAAAAGAATGTATTTACAGTATGTTTGTGTTTCACTGCCCTGAGACCAGAATGTCTGGCCAACCGCCTTCTTTATATGGAGGCAGATTTACAGTCAAACTCTAACAGCAAATTATTTTATTCTAAACTATCCGTTCAATTGGTTCAGTATGAAAGTCTGGTTTTAACAGAAATAATATTTTTAAAAGCATATACGCCCACGTTATAAGTGGTCTAGTTTAAAATCTAGAGATATTGCACTTATTTGGCTCAAGTCCTCATCCTAAAACCTGGGGCAAAGTAGTGAATTATACCAATCTTTCCTTCCATCTACCTCCACATATTCAAACACACTCACCAGAATGTTGTCACAACATTTCAGGAGGAAATTTTATTATAAGAAACAATGAGTCATCAGCATTCTGCAACCTATCAAGAAAGCACTGTTTTCCAGACTTTAACTCATTTAATAAGTAATCACTAAACATCTATTATGTACCAGATTTGGGGGATACATGTAGCAGTAAGCCAAAAGACAAATTTTATGTAATCCTGGAGCATTCTACAGGGAGGGCAAGGAGTGGGTGTAAAGAAGGAAGATAATAATCAGATGACTGTGTAATATCAAGTTAGCTGGTGGTTACAGCTTGGAAGAAAAGTTACTTTCCACGAGAATCAAATGGGCACTTGTTTAAGATGCAGATACCTGAGTCCACCCACACTGAACTAGGGTATTTATTCTAACACCTCCCACTATAACCTGGGAAGTGTCTCCAATGCCACCTCTGGTCTGGGGAAAGTCTGGTTCATCTAGATAGCCCTGGCAGGGGAAAGCAAAGCATCGTCCACTGCTCCCTGCCCTCCACATGGCCACCTATGTCTAGTGGGTAATGATTAGTGAGAACTGATGATCAACCAGTAGACTTTCTACCAGCCCCACGCAGCTGCAGTTCTGTCTGAGACAGCAAACGCCTCTGAAGTTAACTGTGCCCTGTGCCTAAGTTTGCTGTAGGCAGGGGTCCCTTTAAAGAAAGAAAGCAGAAGATGTTAAGAGAAGCATTTATTATCGGAGGTGGAAAGGTGGGAAAGATCAGTTAGATTCTCCTCCTAATAATACACGACCCAGATGTCCCAGATATCAGATCTATCCTAATCAAATAATAAGGCTTCTTGAAAGGGAAATTAAATAGCTCGATCCATTATGTGAGCCTTAAATGGTATATGTATGTGAGAGAGAGACAGAAAGAGAGAGAGTAAAAACTACAGAGCCTCTTTAAGAGGGAGCAGCCTGTAACCCTAGAAGGACCACTGAGGTCAATAACAAGAAGGGTGAGAAGCTTAAACTTTTTATTTTTTGAGACAGGGTCTTACTCTATTGCCCAAGCTGGAATACAGTGGTACCATCACAGCTCACTGCAGCCTTGACCTCCCAAGCAATCCTCCCACCTCAGCCCCCCAAGTAGCTGGGACTACAGGCATGCACTACCACACCCAGCTAATTTTTTAATTTTTTATAGTCATGAGTTCTTGCTGTTGCCAAGCTGGTCTCAAATTCCTGAGCTCAAGCAGTCCTCCCACCTTGACCTCCCGAGGTGCTAGGATTACAGGCATGAGCCACCACACTCACCAGTAGCTTAATTTCATGCATGCTCTTATAACTTACATGTGAGCAAATGAAAATGGTATCTGTAATTCCATAGGTAAGTCAGTTCTGGAGGGAACTTTAAACAACATCTACCCAATATACAAGCAAGGAAAATGAGGACTAGAGGGGCGAATGATGTCTCCAAGTGTTCATGACAAATTGAAGGAAAAGCCCGTAGAGCATGTGGCCTCCCAGTACTACCTAGTCCATCTCATACGTTAAAGTTAGATGTTATAGTTTACCCTATATAGCCCTTTTTTTAAAATCTAAGTTTTCTGCCAGGTGCAGTGGCTTATGCCTGTAATCCCAGCACTTTGGGAGATTGAGGGAGGTGGATCATGAGGTCAGGAGTGCAAGACCAGCCTGGCCAGCTACTCAGGAGTCTGAGGCAGAGAATTGCTTCAACCCGGGAGGTGGAGATTGCAGTGAGCCGAGATCGTGCCACTGCACTCCAGCCTGGGCAACAGAATGAGACTCTGTCTCAAAATATATTTTATATATATATATATCATATATATGATATATATATATATGTTTTTATCAGAAATAACTAAATTCAGATGAACCGAACAGTTTATTAAATGGATACTTCAAAAGAGCCTTAACTAAGGTTCACTGAAATGTACCTAGTGAGTTGAGTAAGGATTCTCCTGACATAGGAGGAAGACCTGGGTCAATTCACCTATGTTCATCTGTCATTTGCTGAGAAAAACCTCAGGGAAAAAAAAAGTGAAAGGTTAGCTTCAGAATGTCTAACCCTGCATTAGAACAGTTAGAAGGACCACAAAGCATGGGGAAAATGGACAAAGTTCTCCTCTGAAAACAACTCCAGTGCTGCATAGCCAAGGGAAGGAGGCAGCAGCGTATCTGAGGCTCTGAATTGGGCACAGCCATTCACCAGTACAGAGACCCTCCTGAGGTAAGGTCACCTAGAGGAGCAGAGGTCCATTTATGACAACTTTGCTTAAAAGAAAAAAATTTTGCTGAAGAGATTCTCAGTGTAGAAAGTAAATAAATATCTCAAGCAAAGATACCATAGCTCCCCCTTGTAAATGCTGGGCTATGCCTCTGAGCCCAGCTTTGCACCCTGGAAGTTCATTTGACCAGCCTAAGGCAAGACCAGCAGAGTAATTAGTTCAGGTAGTGTCCTTTAACAATGGTGATAAAGAAGTGGAACCTACAGACAGGACTCAGGAGCAGAAATCCCAGCAAAGTGTGGAGCTAAGCCAATGAGGTGAAGAGGCAGTCCATTCAGATCTCAGCCCTGAAATCTCCTTCCCCTTATCTCCCGGGAAAGTCCTGACCACTCCTTTATGCCAGACTCAATCCCACTTGCTCCAAGAAGATAAGCCTGGCTAAGTGCAATGGCTCACGCCTGTAATCACAACACTTTGGGAGGCCAAGACAGGAGGATTGCTTGAGACCAGGAGTTCTAGACCAGCATGGGCAACATGGTGAGTTACCATCTCTACAGAAAAATTTTAAAACCGGGTGTGATGGGGCATGCCTGTGGTCATAGCTACTTAGGAGGCTGAGGCAGGGGGAGCACTTGAGCCCAAGAGGTTGAGACTATAGTGAGTCATGATTGCACCACTCTGTTCCAGCTTTGGTGACAGACCCTGTCTCACGAGGAAGAAGAAGAAGGAAGGCGGGGAGAAGAGAAGAAGAGGAGAAGGAAGGAGGAGGAGGAGGAGGAGGAGGAGGAGGAGGAAAAGGAGGAGGAGGAGGAGGAAAAGGAGGAAGAGGACGAGGAGGAGGAGGAGGAGGAGGAGGAGGAGGAGGAGGAGAGGAGGAGGAGGAGGAGGAGGAGGAGAAGAATAAGAAGTGTCTCCAATGCCACCTCCAGTCTGGGGAAAGTCTGGTTCATCTAGACAGCCCTAGCAGGGGAAAGTAAAGCATCGTCCATTGCACCCTGCCCTCCACATGGAGGTAAGAATTAAATAAGGTATTGATTTAATTTAAAAAAAAAAAAAAAAAAAAGAGGATTTTCTAATTCAGTGTTCAGGACAAATACTTCCCTGTCATCCCAGTTGGTGCCAGCTGGAATGCCTAGTCTTAATATTCTGATCCTCCTCCAGGCCTTTCTTCTTCTTCTTTTTTCTTCTTCATCTTCATCTTTGCCTTTTTCTGAGACACGGTCTTACTCTGTCAGGCTGCTGCTACAGGTTTTCATTGTGTTCCTAAATTTTGCCACTTCCCATCAGAATTCCCTACATATGTGTTTCCACCAGTTTGTGAGCCAGATCTCATCTTATTCACATTCATATGTTCCTCCAGAGCCCAGCCACTTGCTTGCCTTTGTAGGAATGCAAAAATTTATTTACTGAGTTGGATACAGAAGCACACTTAAAGGCTTAAAATGTTAAGGCCAGGCATTCCAGCCAGCACCAACTGGGATTGCAGGCAAATATTGCTAAATTGTCCTGAACTCTGAATTAGAGAATACTTTTTTCTTTTTACAAGACCCTATTCAATTCTCACCTCCATGAAGATGTTTCTTATTACATTACTCTAGCACGTGTAGCCAGTGTGACTACCATTCACTGTGCCGAGATTCTCTGCCTTCTGACATCTCTTCTACTCTTGTCCTTTATCGCTTTTCAACTCTAATATGTTTTTATTATTATATATCACAGAGATTAAGAACACAGACTTTTCTATCAAATAGATCTGAGTTCAACTTCTAAGTTGACAGTTAGTAATCAAGCTCCCTTTGACTTGCCTTCTCTCTTTCATATCTGTAAAATGGGAAAATAGTAACACCTACTCCATAGGGTTATTGTGACCATTTAATAAGTCAACTGTAAAGTGCCTAGCATGAATCTTGGCACAATAATATTATTTCTTATTTTTACTATCAATATATAATAAATAGTTCCCAGGTTATTAGACATTTTCTTAGGAAATGGGTTCCTTTAAATATCTGATTTAAAACTCTTGCCATTTGGCCAGGCACGATGGCTCATGCCGGTAACCTGACATTAAGAGGTCGAGACCAGCCTGGCTAACATGGTGAAACCCCATCTCTACTAAAAATACAAAAATTAGCCAAACATGGTGGTGCATGCCTGTGATCCCAGCTACTCGGGAGGCTGAGGCAGGAGAATCACTTGAATGCAGGAGGTGGAGGTTGCAGTGAGCCAAAATTGTGCCATTGCACTCAAGCCTGGCAGCAAGAGTGAAACTCCACCCACTCACATAAAAAAAAAAATAACTCTTGCCATTCTCCCCTGAAAAAAAAGATATACACAAAATTTTGTACATAATTACAGAAGAACCATGGAAGCTGTGAATCCATCCTTTTACCTCAGTTTTGGTATAGAATATACTTGTCTTCAATCACACTATATGATTTTTGAGGGCTGAAATCATGCCTTCTGAGTTTTCTGCTCCCTATAGCACCCATAACAGTGCCCAGGGTTGGAAAACACTCAATAAATATTTGAACATTTGTTGATGTCAAATTTTAATTCTCCATTGAACACTGGAATTAATCTCTAAAAATTTGAAGTCATTCCCTTTATTAATAGAGGAAAAAATGAGTTTTGCTTTCATATTCTTTGGAGGACTTGATGTTAGTATTACTTTTGCCCAGAACATGAGTTATCAATTCCAAATGGGACTCTCAGTTTCCAAAGTTCTGTGGCCATTTCCAAGGAAGGACATTCAAGCTCCTAAGCCAAGTCACACTAGTAGGAAAGAAAGGGCGTGGTTAGCCAGTGTCTGAAGCAAAAGTTCTTCACATCTCCTCTCATGACCAGATGTCATGGTGGACTATTGCAATCGCTCACATGAGGCCATTGGCAGCATGTCAATTTATACCGAGCCTAACATTTGCAAAATAGGCTAGAAATTGAACCAAAAATTAAACAGGAACTCTGTCAATAATTAACTCATATGATTGAACACCTCTGTTAATGTAGACACACTATAAATATGTATTTATTCAAAAGAATTGATAAAAGGTGTGCTTGTCAAGATGTAAATACAGTCATATGACATGACCTGGACTCTATGTCCTTCCCTCCCTTTTTCCTTTTTTTTCAGGATTTTTGATATTTTTCCTTCTCTTCTGTTTACCTCTGAGTGATAGCTGTAGCATGTTTTGGGGCTAAATATGCAGAAACAGAACAAGAAACATATATTTTCTTGTTCTGTTATTGGAATTCGTTTCTACCTTTTTGAAGTCATCTGTTAACTAACTGTGCACTCTTACAACAATAATGTGAACTGAAAATGCAATAACAATAGCTAAAGAAGATAAAAGAAAAATTAAAGTCTCTTTTTATAGATCCTGTCAGCGAGAAAGCTCAGACTTCAACGTTTTTGTTCCTTTTTATTTTCCTAACATATGTGTGGCAGATACTAAGCAGGTTCTTTTCCTTGAGTCTTTGTGTTCTTCAAACTAACTGACTCTGGCACCCTGCTCCCAAGAACGCAGAGCAGGCCCGTGGGCAAGTGTTGTCTGGTTTAAAACACTGTTGAGACAATGAGGAGGGTTTACGCAAGGAAATGGGAGCAGATTTTGCTAATTCTGACATAGTGTGCTGCACTGTCTTCTAGTCTGGAGGCACAGACTTCCTCTACAGACCTTGACACACAGAAATGCATACAAGGCAATCCTCTATCTCTCACAGGGAATGTGAGTGCGCGCGCACACACACACACACACACACACACACAGTTCACTACCTAAAATATCATACACACTGTATTTGAAAGCATACTTAAAAGGAAAAAAAAAAAAAAAAAAAACAGGCCAGGCGCAGTGGCCATGCCTGCAATCCCAGCATTTTGAGAGGCCGAGGCGGGTGAATCACTTGAGGTCAAGAGCTAGAGACCAGCCTGGCCAACACAGCAAAACCCAATCTCTACCAAAAATACAAAAATTAACCTGGCATGGCAGCACACATTTGTAATCCCAGCTACTCGGGAGGCTGAAGCAGGAGAATCACAAATCAGTGGAACCCATGAGGCAGAGGTTGCAGTAAGCCGAGATCACACCACTGCACTCCAGCCTGGGTGATCGAGCAAGACCGTCTGAAAAAAAAAAAAGAAACTAAAAGCAAAAAACGAAAGTCAAATTGTAAGCCCAGCACTTGTTTTTTCTACTCCCACCTACAAACTAATTCTCTCTATCCTAGTTCTTTGGGACCCTTTGTGAGTGGAACTCAGAGGAGCCCCTCAGACACAGCTTCCTAAGTGACTTACAGAAGTGTTCAGAAAAAGCTCAGTTGCCCCAAGCCTTTCTTCCCATGCCCCTTGTGCGCTCTTTCTATTTGAATGCCAGTAAGAAAACCAGTGCCTCCTCCAGTGCATTCCTTTCTCCCAGACTTTGAGTGATCTCGAAGGCCCACTCTGGTTACTAACGAGTTAAACTTTCTGCCTTCTTATCCTACCCAACCTGTTAATAATCTTGCTAATGTATAACTTATCTTTGAAGACAGATAAGAAGACCCAGTCACTCAAAACTTGTGTTTAGAACAGAGCTTTGGCTTAATAACTAGAACCAGGAGCAAGTTAGAGGAAATAGGGAATCTGGCTTAGGCCAAAGTCTTGAGCCCCAGTTGAGGCCAAGGGAGTGGGCTTATGGGTGGATTCAAAGTATGTGAGAAGAGAAAATCAGCCCTGCTTTTGACTCCCATTAAGAGAATCAGACTCTTCACTTTGCCTTCCCTGCGTAGCTCTAACAAGCACGCCAAAGCTCGGCCACAAGCCAACAAGACTTGGCGCAGCCAGCGATCGAGATACCATTTTTTTCCTGGTTCACAATGTCTCCAAGTTTCTAGATACAAACTTCCCTTCTTCCAATCCATGAGAATTACATTTGCAAAGTGAGAAAACCTTTACAGACAGCAGGGTGGACAAAGCACCCTGGTAGAATCTGGTGCTTAGATAGAACCTGAGCCTGGTTCTATTCATCTTGGTCCCAGGTGTCCTTCCCACCATGCTGCCCATGTGGAGCACAGTAACGCTATGCTGGCACCAGCCTGTGTGGGTTTAGATGCAGCTGCCAGAAGGAGCTGGATTCAGGTATCCAGGCCTCTGCTCCCTGTCTGGAGGTTTAAATGACCAAATTGTGTGACTATAGGAAGTCATTCTCTTTCCTGCCCATTTCACAGCCCCTACAATTTAGTAGGAGCTAGACTCACCAAAGAATTTATTTTGACTTTGGAAAATGGAATAGTGTTATTTTGGCTAATTATCAACATGCAAAAAGGCTCATCATGAAAACAAATTCACAGTGTGAATGGAAACTGTGAGATTCACAGTCATCGTATTTTATATACCGACAAGGGTGTTGTCTCCTTGGACAGCTTCTTCAACTAGTCCGAAGTTTAATACTTTAAACAAGAGTTCAGGGCATTTTTGTTGTCTAATATCCTCCATAGTGGTAGGTCTGTACTCTTTCATTGTGGATTTGGTTTTTGGAGGCAACCACAGGTCATTTAGACTTCAATGTGAAGACTACCATTGGTTTTCCAGTTGGTTACAGGCAGCTACTCAAATGGTCCCTGGAAATCCCTGCCTCCTTGTTTACAGGCTCTTGGGCAATCTCTTCCCCTTGAGTGAACTCACTTTTAACAAACAGTATATAGCAAAAATGACAGTGCGCCACTTCCAAGTTAAGGTTACAAAAAGTGTGTGACTTCCATCTTGCTCACACTCTCTTTCTATTCTTTTACCCCTTATTTGATTTCTAAGGGAAGCCCCTGCCATGGTGTGAGCTGCTCTGTGAGAGGCAAGAAACTGGTGTCTCCAGCCAGCAGCTACAGAGGGCCAGAGGTTGGCTTGGAGCTGATGGAGTGAGTCTGGAGCAGATCTTCCCCCATTCAAACCACCACGTATCTGTGGCCCCAGCTGTCATTGTGCTTGCAGCCTCGTCACAAACCCTAAGGCAAAGACCCATGTAAGCTTCACCCAGATGTCTGACCCACAGAAATGAAGAGGTAATAAACATTTGTTTCAAGATGCGCTGTTTTGGTGGTAACTTGTAACACAGTAATAGTTAACTAACACAGATTATGTTAGAATCAAATCAGGGTGTGACCACTGAACAAGAAGAATGGCTTTCTTTTTCTTTTGTTTTTTTTTTTAGATGGAGTCTCAGTCTGTCACCCAGGCTGGAGTGCAATGGTGCGATCCTAGCTCACCACAACTTCCACCTCCCAGGTTCAAGCAACTCTCCTGCCTCAGCCTCCTGAGTAGATGGGGTTACAGGTGCGTGCCACCATACCTAATTTTTTTGTATTTTTATTACAGACGGGGTTTCACCATGTTGGTCAGGCTGGTCTCGAACTCCTGACCTCATGATCCACCAGCCTCTGCTTTCCAAAGTGCTGGGATTACAGGCATGAGCCACTGCGCCCGGCTAGTATGATTTTCTTTTGTTCCTCAAAACTATTGGCTCCAAAGGAACTCTCATCCTGTGTTAACACGTATCTTACCTCTGGGAACCCCTATCTTCAAGACTACAAGTCTGATACCTTCCCTCTCTGCCTGACAGCGAGCTTAGGGTATGGGCCAACAGACCAAGGCTGATCTGAGTAGAAGGCTACCTAGCAGGGTGCTTAAGGAATGCCTTTGAGTCTTCCATTCTTTTCCTTTTTAATTCAAATTACTACCCTGTCCTCCTATGGCCAGGATGGGGAAATGTGTTTAAACATAGCTTCAGGTACAACAAGAGCAGTTCTGTCAAAGTAATAAGCAGACCAGTTTAAGTAAGCAATGAACTGAGTTCTAGAGATGGTAGGCTGCAGGGCAACAGCGCTCCTCGCCTCCCCACCCCTAGTAGTAAAAACACCCACCACCTGACCCACATTGTAAGCACTCCCTTCTCATCACCACTCCTTATAACCAAACTCTTGTCAGTCTTCTCCAGAACTAAATCAGAGAAAACAGGTCATTCGAACTGCTCCAGAAGAATTTCTTCACACATTTAGCCTTCTCTTCCTGCCTCTTAGGAAGCTGCCGTGAGGCACATTCCGCTCCCTCATGGTAAGAGATAGAGGGAAGATGAAAAGCAAGACAAAGGCAAAATAGAAAGTCAAGGAGAAAAAAAAATAAAGAGAGGCCACCCACCTGCCCCGCCCCACCATGCCTGCTCCAGTAGAGTCACTTCTTTCTCTGACAATGGACTGGCAGGTGTGTGCCTGATTCCTTGTCATGTTTTTGTCGTGTGATTACATGTCACATCAGTCAGTCCAGAGAGTGAAAACTGCTCAGAAATGTGGTCACAATATATCTCCATTTCTACTTTTGTCAACAAGCTTCTCAACAAAACTGGCCAACTTTTAAGGGTCTCTGCTATTCCTTGAGTGGGAAAAGTAAAGACTGCTTTAAAATCTGGAATCACTGTTTTATGAACTCAACAAAACATTATTTGAAAAAAAAAAAAAAAGGAGAGGGGGTGGGGACAGTAATTTCCACAGTAAGCCTTCCAGCCAGTAGGCCAAGTCTAATTTCTCATCTTAGGTGTTGAGTTTCTATAGCTAACCTTCTAACAAGACTATATGTGGCTTCTGGGTTCAAAATTTTACAGAAATAACCTGTGGGGTTTTTTGTTTGTTTGTTTGTTTTGTTTTGTTTGCAGATGGAGTCTCACTCGGTCACCCAGGCTGGAGTGCAGTGGTGCAATCCCGGCTCACTGCAACCTCTGTCTCCTGGCTTCAAGCACTTCTCCTGCCTCAGCCTCCCGAGCAGCTGGGATTATAGGCATGTGCCACCACACCCGGCTGATTTTTGTGTTTTTAGTAGAGACAGGGTTTTATCATGCTGACCAGGCTGGTCTGAACTTCTGATCTCAGATGATCCGCACCGCCCCCAGCCTCCCAAAGTGCTGGGATTACAGGCATGAGCCACTGTACCCGGCCAGTAACTTGGGTTTTGTGTCCTTTTTTGTAGTTGTTGAATAATTATGGAAAAAAATGCATACAAATATTTCCATGTGAAATTTTTTGCCTAATTTTAAGCCTATTTCCTCAACTTGCTGTCCAACAGTCTCTTTCTTTTGATGCCACTGACATAGCTCTTATCCAGAACGCTCCTTTTGCCTACTGGCAATCAGGAGACAGAACACCCCTGCTCTGCTGTCACATGGCAGAAGGGATGGGGGAGAACCAGAGAGCTGTCCTCCTTGGACTGTGTGAAACAGTTCTCTAGAACTCAAAAAAAAAAAAAATCCAAAGGCAACTCTGAGGCAGGGGAATTTTCTTCCTGGCCCTGGTGAACATAGCGTTTTTGATGGGAACTAGGAAGGTGATGTGTCCCTTTCTCTCCTTACTGCAGTAACTAAATTCTAAATAGAGCAAGAACTTCTGTAATCTCACCCTTCTCTTTCTTCATCATTCTTCCAAATTTGCAATTCTTTGTCAAGAGCAGAAAATCGTATAGTTAATATTTGCTTTGGATTAGTGAGTTTGTGAAGAGGAGGTAGATTTGGGGTGTTAGTATGAGTGTATGTATGCATTAGAGACTCTCTCAGGTCTCCTCATGGGAGGCACAACCTGAAAGCAACAGTAATAGCATTTTAAAACTTTAGTGTCAGGCCTGCAGAGAGATGACGTCAGATACCCTTCCAACCCCATCGCCTTCCTGCTCCTCACACCTTCAGCAGCACTTCTCGTCTGGTTTTCTGTTTGCAGCACAGGCTGCATGATACTTGTACATGCCCCTGCAATGGGTACCCAGAGAGCACGTGCAAATGAAGGTTCTAAGCTGTAATTTCCCATCAGGAGGAAAGCATTTTAGTGAGTGGGGAAGATGTTACTAGAAGGCTGACATTGAATCTGCTATCACTTATACTGTTAAAAATAAAATAAACCATTCACATGGCAGTATTTGCAAACACTACTGGGAGCCAACTGCCTGCTCCCGATTCCACCGGCTGATGCAGTGCAGTGTCATGGTATGCATGGAGGCTCTCTGTGTCTCAACCCTTCCTGCGTAACTTGGTGAAGCTTCTTAACCCTGAGCCTTGGTTTCTTTTGAAAAATTAGGATGATAATAATTCATAGTTCATGAGGTTGATGGGACTGTAAAGTACACTAATCCATTTAAAGCTTTTGGAGTAACGTTAACTTTAGGAAAGCAATAATATGAATAGTTCAATTATGGAAAATGTACCAAACTGTTCTATGCATGTTAAGACAGTAGAATGCTGCCCACCTCACCTATTTATCTCTTAGACAACCTTGGTAACCTAAGATTATGATCATTTGTTTAGCCTGGGGTGTGACAAACTGTTGTACTGGGGCGACAAATGCAGCCCCCTTGTTTTTGTAAATAAAGTTTACGAAACTCACTTGCTTATGTATTGTCTATCACTCTTTTCAAGCTACAACATCAAGGTTGAGTACCTGAGGCAAGAGACTGCATGACCCACAAAATCTGAAATACATATTCTTAGCTCTTTGCAGGAAAAGTTTGCCAACACTTACATAGCCTGCTGTGAGACATTAATTATATCCCAGCATAGCCTGTATTGATACAGCTTTTTTTCAGGACCTACTACATAATTTGTGGAGCACATTGCAAAATGAAAATGTGGAGCCCCTTGTTCCAACCCTCTTAGGGATTTCCAGACAGCAACAGCTTATCATTAAACCAAGCATCGGTTCTCCTGAACTGGAGCTCAGTGGGACTGACTACAGAGGTGGCACACCACAAATCCAGTCCTGCCTTTATGTCCTCCAGAGTTTACCCCTAGTGTCAATTTTATTTTCATTTTCACTCTCAAGGTACTTTTGGGGCAAAATCTAGAACAAAAAAGAGAAGCATTACCAAAGTTATGCTATGAAATAATTCCAGACAAATTGGGTTTGGAGTTATCTACTGAAGGGAGAATTGTTCGTATGAAACACTCTTCCTTCTCATAGCACAACGTTTTTTCTCTTGGTTCTTTGTACCCTAAATTATTTCCTGGGTTTGTTCTAATTTCTTAAGGTTTTTTAACCATACTGTCTACTCTATCAATACTGGCTAGCTGACCCAGGGAGAGTCATCAGATTCGGTATTTGGAGTCTGACAACTATTAATGCGCTTTTCCTTGCATAATAAAGAAAGCATTTGTTATTTTTAACCTTGTAAAACTAGAAAATGTGTCCTAAAGGCCAGAAGAGCAACTCTAAGCTTGTTAGAGGCAAGAGTCCAAGATAGAATAAAAGTAATTACTCAAGTTTTCTTTTTCTCATTTTTTTCTGTAAGATATCACCTCCCATTCAGTTCCCAATTTATATTCTTACTTTTTAAAAATAGAAATTCTATAGCTCTTTAAAAAGTATGTGCTTTTAATGCATTTCAACATTTCTATCCCATCAATGTCAGGACTTAATCTTGATAATCCCAGATCAGCTAGGAAATAATTCTGCTTCCTTTCTTTGCTGGTTATGCTGGTAAATGAGGAACAAAATAGACAATCTCCTACCTCTTCATGTCATTTATGCTACAATAACACGTGGGTTAAGGCACAGAAGAATTAAAAAGGTAAAGCTGGGTAGACCCTTGCAGATCACATCCTTTCCAGACCCAGACCCCTGTTTTTTCTTTTGCATTAGCAGCATGACAGAGCCAATGGGAGCTGAGAGATGATTCTAGAAATTAGCTGAGCATGGTAGTGCCCGCCTATAGTCCCAGCTTCTTGAGAGGCTGGGATGAGAGGATTGCTGATGCCAAGGAGTTTCAGGCTATAGTGAGCTAGGATTGAGCCACTGCGCTCCTGCCTAAATGACAGAGTCAGTTCCTGTCTTAAAAAAAAGAAAAAAGAGTGGATCTCTTCTCAGGCAACCCTTCCTAAACCCCTTTATCCACAAGCTTTCCAAGGTCAAGAACAGAAACAAGGGTTGTATAAGGCCAGGCACAATGGCTCATGTTTGTAATTGCAACTCTTTGGGAGGCCAAGACAGGAGGATAGCTTGAGCCCAGGAGTTCAAGACTGGGACAACAGAGCCTTTATCGATATGAAAAAAAAAAAAAAAGAAAGAGAGAGAGAAAAAAGTATAGATATATGTTAAGTACAGGACAAGACCCTGTCTCTCTACTCTCCCTCTGTTTGCACATCTCTGGGCCCCAGTCTCACACCTGAGATTCCTTGTTTTTATCCCCTTGAAGTAAGGCGATTTTGTGCGAATTTACTGGAAGTTAGTCATGCCTTTGTATTCCTAATTCCAGCTTCCACCAACAAATGGCCTACTCTCAGCCAAGCAGACCACATGTCTTCTGAAGAGAGTGACCCTAAGAGGCAGCAAGAGCTGGAGATATGTCCGAGAGCCATGTGCTTGAGAGCTGGCAGTGTCCTGGCCGTGGCTGACTGGGCTGGCACCCTCGCCATGGTCTCCCTGCAGCATGGTCTTAAGAGGTCCTCTGCTCCTAGCCTCTAGCCGTCCAATTCATCTCTTTGTTTTCCCTAGCCTTCCCACCCACTTTGTGAGATCTCTGGTATCCTTCTAGTCATTAGCTTTTCCACTTTTGTTCACCGGAATTGGCTTCTGCAGTCTGTAACCAGGAGCCCTAACTGATACCACTGATTTTTTTAAGAAGCAGAGTAGCAAAAGAAAGAAAAAAGAAAAGCCCAGTTGTTTCGAATGCGTCACATCTTCTGAGGGGGTTGAGGATATCTGTGCTGGCTTCCTATAAAAAGTACCTGTGGCCTGGTGCAGTGGCTCACACCTGTAATCCCAGCATTTTGGGAGGCCGAAGTGGGTGAATCATCTGAGGTCAGGAGTTCGAGACCAGCCTGACTAATATGGTGAAAAATCACCTCTATTAAAAATACAAAAATTAGTCGGGCATGGTGGTCCACCCCTGTAATCTCAGATACTCGGGAGGCTAAGCCAGGAGAATCGCTTGAACCCAGGAGGCAGAGGTTGCAGTGAGCCAAGACTGTGCCACTGCACTCCAGCCTGGGCAACAGAGCCAGACTCTGTCTCAAAAAAAAAAAAGTACCTGTAGCTATAGCCAGTGGAGCATCTTGGGCTCAGTGCTCTATGCAAATAGGCGTGTCTCACACTTCTGCCTGGCCACCCCAACCTCTCAGGACTACCCCTCAGGACTGAGCAGTCTTCAACTAGTGGTCAGAGAGAGGAAAGGCATCTTTAGGATGGAAGGAACTTGACTGACCACACCCTCCTGAGCCTTTTTGCCTCCCTCCCCTCCCTTCAATGGTCATTACCATACCCAAAACAAGTTTAGAATCAGAAGTAAAAGGGTATCAGAAAAATAGAACAAAACAAAACAAAAAAACTCTGTTTCATTGATTTCTATCGTTCCTTCTTCAGGATAAGAAATTACAAGTAAGGATTTTAAAAAATAGATGACCTGGGTTCAAATTCCAGCTCCACCATTCGCTTTTTCCCTTGAACTCTTTGGTCCTCAGTTTCCTCATCAATAAAATGAATATAAAAATGATATCTACTGGCCAGGCTTGGTGGGTCACGCCTATAATCCCAGCACTTTGGGAGGCCGAGGCGGGTGGATCACGAGGTCAAGAGATGGAGACCATCCTGGTCAACATGGTGAAACCCCATCTCTACTAAAAATACAAAAACTTAGCTGGGCATGGTGGCATATGCCTGTAGTCCCAGCTACTCGGGAGGCTGAGGTAAGAGAATTGCTTGAACCCAGGAGGCAGAGGTTGCAGTGAGCCGAGATCGCGCCATTGCACTCCAGCCTGGGTAATAAGAGTGAAACTCCGTCTCAAAAAAAATAAATAAGTAAAATAAAAAATAAAAATAATAAAAATGATATGTACCTCAAAAGTTGTGAGAATCAAAAGAGTCCCATGTAAAGCATTGAGAACTGTGACTGATATATTAGGTGCTGGTTAAATGTTAATTACTGCTATCATTATTGTATTATTTCAATCTCATCGTAGTGCTCTGCTGCCTAGTACTTTTTCCAATGTGGGGCAAGGTTATATGAGTAGAAAAAGTATCAGCTGGTTCTTTCTAAATGCAAAGGAAATACATGTTTTTAACATCACAGTAGGATTTCACTTCGTCAGAAACCCCGAGTAGAACATAACTGTTTCAGGAAGTGGTGTAATTATAACTCAGTCTCATTGACAACGCGAAGCAAGGTCTCCATTTTAAAGGGCTCACTTGACATTTTATATGGCTGTCTGCTGCCCCTCTGTTCCAAGTTCAGTTTAATCTGCCATTCTGGACCCAAATAGAGATCACCGACACATTCAAATAGACACATCTTTCTGTTTTAAATAGATTTTAGTGCATTTTGGTACAAGCAAAAGAAGTTTCACAAACGTGATTTCTAGAACTTCAGCCTAGTGGGCCAAAATCTGCTGAGTAATCACATGACCTCAGGCTGGGGAACTCTTTAGGCTACTACAAAATTGACTTAAAGATGAAATTTTTGCTCACGCCTATAATCCCAGCACTTTGGGAGGTTGAGACAGGAGGATCACTTGAGCCTAGGAATTTGAGACCAGAAAAAAAAATCAAAAAATTAGCCAGGTGTGGTTGTGCATGCCTGTGGTCCCAGCTACTTGGGAGGCTGAGATGGGAGTATCACCTAAGCCCAGGAGGTCAAGGATGCAGTGAACTGTGATCTCACCACATACTCCAGCCTAGACAACAAAATAAAGTAAGGCACTGCTCAAAAAAAAAAAATGAATTTTTTTCTAGAAAGAACCATCGACTGCCAGGCTTCTTTTTACCATTTGAATAATATCACGATTAGTTCATTATGCTGAAGTGAAGCCTTCCTCTCTGGAGAATATGAACCTGTAATCACGGCCCTGCTGTGGCCAGGGAAGCATGTGGCCTTGTGTGTGCCACGGGTATTATACATGGGTTCTCTGGAAGATTTCCCTGTGAACAAAAGCAGAAATCCACCAAGACGACAAAGAAGTGAGATTCATGACTCTCAAAAGGGGAGACTGAGCCTGAGGAGTGCGTGTAAACAGAGTGATGCCATATGAGCGGAAAGAAAGATCAGGTGCCAGGAAGGCCAGAAAGAGTCAAGGGCAAGAAGAAGAGGGGTGAGATTGCCAGGGTTTGGATCCTGGCTCCAACACTTATAATCTGTGTGAGTTCAAGCAAGTTGGTTGAATAATCTGTACTTCATTTTTCTCATCTGTAAAATAAAGATGAGAATAATAGTATCTGTCTCACAAGGCTATTGTGTGGATTAAACTTGTTAATATACATAACGAGCTTGTCCAACCTACAGCCTGTGGGCCACATGTGGCCCACAATGTCTCTGAATGTGGCCCAATACAAATTTATAAACTTTCTTATAATATTATGAGATTTCCTGCGATTTTTTTTTTTAGCTCATCAGCTATCATTACTGTCAGTGTATTTTATGTGCGGCCCAAGACAATTCTTTTTCTTCCAGTATGGCCCAGGGAAGACAAAAGTTTGGACACCCCTGATATATAACGTGCTTAGAACATTGCCTACCCATAGTAACACTGTATGAGTGTTAGCTGTGATTACCAACATTGGCA